ATCAGTCGATGGGCGGGCCGACGCACACGCGTAGACCCGGAACCTTGAAGATAGATATTTTAAGGTACAAGGAAACCGATGAAGAATCCCTTTGTAATGATTCGTCGAGTTAGCCGACGCCGTAAGGCCCGTCACATCGAGGGTCACGAGATGCTTGTCACCTTTGCCCTGTCAAATTTGACAAAACGAGCAAAGATTTAAGCCTGAGAGCTCAAGCTTCACGACCCAAATGTGTTTGAGTCGTTAGAGAACTTAAAGTCTCGGCATAAGGGAGACGTTTGAGACGCCAAGAGAATCGAGTTCAGAGCACGCTTTGCACTCCTGAGGCTCAAGCAAGGTAAGCGTGACGTGCACGCTTACGCACGACACCTACTCTATCTTTCGAGTAGCGTCACGGAAAACCCTGTTTTTGAGCACACGCCCATCAACGTTTCATCTACGGATTTGTAGATGAACCGGTCAAGACCAACATGTTCCGAGAGGACTTCCATACGCTGGAAAAGGCGATATCGTATGCGGAACAGATAGACTTAAATTTTAAAAATATATTTGAGATTGTTAAAATTACTAAAATTTGTTTAAATATAGGTTTTAAAGACGCAAATATTGAAAAAAAATTGATTAATATAATTTTACTTTTAAACTTAATAACAAAAAAAAACCTTTAAAGCTTAAGCCTTATTATTAATCCGATTGATCGGTTCGCGAACTTTCGCTCTTGTTTGCAGTAGCGAAAGTAACTAACTTTGTCGCACAGCCTTTTTTGGTTGACTGCTTATACGCGTTCTTGTCTTGTTTTTGTTTGTGTTACAATAGCACTGTGTGCGTATCGTAACCATTATCATAGTTTTAAGATTTCATTTTGACTAAATACTTTAATTTTCAATTTTTTTAGCGTATATTAATGTTTCATATACTATATAAAAAAGAAAAAGAGCTGAAAAAAATGATATGTAAGAACCAAAACTACTTACAGCACTCAGCCTTAGAAAGTCTCAGGCTAACTCGTCAAACTATCGTCCGACGAGACGACAGAAAACAGGAGGTCTCGAATTAATGGACCTCTGTTACATTGAAAGCGAGAACTTTCGCTCTCTGAGTCACAAGCGAACGGCAAGATGCCATCGCTGCCAGAAGATTGGGCACTACCCTCATGAGTGAAGTGTCCCAAGCACCGCAACACGTCCAAAGACAGGACGTGATGATTGCTGTTGGCCAAGAGAGAGTCCGAGGCGTTGTTCCGACCATGTCGTTAAGCCACGACAGCAAGTCGGACCGTAAAAAAACGGACAGGGTCAGTAGGGTCGGAGCACCCTGCTGATCCAGCAACGTCAAGAGAATTTGCAGGACACTTGACGGATATTGCTCCCAACACACAGTCGCTGTGTGTTACTGCCCCTAGTGATGAGGTGTCCCTCATCACTTTGAAGATCGAAGTGACAAGTGGTATGTCACTTCGCGCCCTAGTTGACTGTGGTACGTCGAACACTTTTACTCGACGCCAGTCGCTAGAGGATTGTATACTCAACGATTTTTAGCTAGAGTTCCCTCCAACGAGGATGACGGTGTGCCTTGCTAAAGGCGCATACATGACAGTGAGCAAACGTGTAGTGAGAATCCATAACACGCTAGAAGGAAAACAATACGATGATGACTTTTTCGTATTAGATTTCGATGACAGATTTGATGTCATCCTTAATCTGCCATGCTTCGAAAGTATTGGCAATGGGTTAGCTGGCGGCATCGATCCGTGAAGATGCCTGCCGTTTGTTCATCGGGTGGCCATCTGATGAACGTCTTGGAGCGTCCACAGCCGTGTGGATGTACAACGAGTGAGTGCAATGGCCTGAATTGTGGTAAGGTCGTTAGTACATTTGCACAAGATCACAGTGTAGAAGGCCACTGCACTGTGGAACCAGCTTCCGGTACCTGTGTAGAGAAACAGGCTGCGCCGAAGGTTCACCACTCGAAGAGATCGAGTGGACTGAAACACAGATGCACACCAGGAAGGGTGCATTCGATAAGAGAGACTAGCGTTGTTCAGGATGGACAACACGTTGAAGCGAGATCGACTATCAGAAAGTCGATCGTAGAGGAAGCCCGCTCTACTTAAAGAGAGTCGATCGAAGAGGACGTGACCGTGAAATTACCCGTAACGAAAAAAAACTCCAGCATTCCAGAGAGTGATAACTCCCGAGAGAGTTATGTTGAGGGTGTGGATCCCCAACCAACTGCGGAGGTGTTTTCCTAGGAAATCACCGAGACGGTGAATGGCTTGGTGAGTGACGGATAGGTGTAGGCGCTTATACACTTCATCTGGTTACACCCCCGAAGTCAGCTTCGGAGGTAGTCAAGTTGTTAACTCTAGAATGTAAAAGATTCTTGCCATATCTGCGTATTGACAAGATCAGGCAGATCTGCGTAATCGCCACAGAGGACGAGTACGTCACCGATATTCGGTCGGCATAAGTGTTTGCTGAGAACGAACGGGTTCTCAGTTTCTTATCGATGGACGACAGTGTCTCGATGAGAAGACTCGGATTGAGCGAAACACGTCTCAATCTTGGGAGTCTTTGAAGACAAATCCTTTGTATAAGGATTTGGTGGAATTCAGGAATGTTTTCCTGAATCCATGTCATGCGAGCTGCCTAAGTACAAAGTCACTCAGCATGAGTTCGAGCTGAAACCCGGTTCGAAGTACTGTGGTAAACAGCAGTGGCCACTGCCTCGTGAACAGGTCACAGCGATCTAGCAATTCTTTTCCGATCGCTTAGCTGCCGGTCATATGAGAAAATCAACATTTTCACACAGCTTTCCGACCTTTTGTGTGCGTAAGACCACAGGAGGGTGGCGAATAGTGCACGCATCCAACAAATCGAGTGATGCAACGGTACCGGCTCAATCGCCGATTCCAAGAAAATATGTCATCGTAGGTGGTGCGGCAAAAAGTACCACTTTTCATCTATGGATGTGATGGATGGATTCCATCAGATCCTCATGCGTGAACGGGACATTTCGTACACAGCAGTTAGCACCCCCAGAGGTATGTTCTGGGAGTGGCTAGTAATGCCACAGGGGCTAAGTAACGCCCCCGCAACGTGTAAAAGATGTTTTAAGAATCTTTTGCGATCGGTGCGCGACTTCGCATCGAGTTACTTTGACGTTGTCTACGTCCATAGCCGGGCTATGGCTGGAAAGACGGACGTGGAGGTTCATAGAATCCACTTCCGGAAGGTTCTTACACTAATGCGAGAGCATAAGTTGTTCGCGGACCTCAAGAAGTGTGTATTCGCATTAAACGAAATACCACTTCTTAACTGCATCGTGGGTAAAAACGGTGTACGCCCTGATCCGGAAAAGATCAAGGCGATAAGCGACTGGCCTGTTCCAGTCGACGTCAAGGGACTTCGAAAGTTCCTTGGCCTGGCGGCGTACTTGCTCAAGTACTCGCGCAACTATGCCGAGATAAATGTACATCTCTATTGTCTTTTGAAAAAGAAAATTGTGAAATGGTCATGAAGCGCTGAGTGTCATAACTCTTTTGAAGGCATCAATAAACGTTTGGTACAATCGTCTGTGGTGGCGATTGCAGATCAGGATAGGCCATTTCATGTGGTCTGTGACGCCAGCGATTTTGCAATCGGCTGCGCGTTAATGCAGTTCGACTCAGACGGCGTTGAGCGCGTCGTCTGTGATCAATCGCGTCAGCTGCAAGCAGCTGAGCGTAATCAACCAGTTTATGACAAGGAACTCCTCTCCATATAATATGCACTGGCCAAGTTTCGGGTATCTCTCTTAGGAGATAGGCCCTTCATCGTTTATATCGACCCTGCGTCTTTACGCACGGCCGTAAACAATCCACACCTCTTGCAACAAATGGCGAGGTGGCTGTCTGTCTTTGCGGAGTACAACTTCTCCGTCGAGTATAAACCAGGAAGACTTAATGTCGTTGCTGATGCTCTTTCGCGTCGGCCCGATTTCGAGCCGACTGCTCAACCCTACAGTAGGGGTGAATCCACTGTCGCGACACTAACAGTGAGTGTTCCGTCGTCGAATCTGCTCGATGACGTGCAAAAGCAAACACAGAAGATGAGTCTCTTCTGCGGTTGATGGGTTACGTATCCGATCCGTGTATTCAAGCTTTGAAAATCTTGTCGCCTTAATACCGCTCTTCAACCGAACGGTATTCTGTCCGTGATGGGCTGCTGTACTACACAGCAGTCAACGGCGACACACCACGTGTCGTCGTTCCGGATCATAACGACTTGCGATTGCGCATCATGTACGAGTGTCGCGATGCCCCAACAAGTGGACATCGCGGTTGAGAAAAGACTTACCTCACGGTAAGTCGTGACTTCTTCTGGTCCCGCCAGTGCCTTGCAACTCAGGCCTTGCAGCCTGTACCGATTCCGGCAGAGTGCTGGCAGTCCGTATCGATGGACTTCGTCTTCGGGTTTCCCAAAGAAGCTTACAAGAATACTGGTATTCACGTGTGTGTTTATCGGTTTAGCAAGATGGTACATCTTGTTATTGTACCGGAGTCAATCACATCCTAGGGCTGTACTCGTGTCTTCATCGATACTACCTTACGACTCCGCGGGTTACCGTGTGAACTCTCGTCTGATAGGGACCCCCGCTTCACAGCGGAGTTCTGGCAATCCATGTTCCGTTCACTTGGAACACGTTTGACGATGTCGACTTCTGACCGTCCAGAAACAGATGGTCGGACAGAACGCATTAACCGCGTACTCGAAGAGATACTCCGATGGTATGTCCACTCGTTCACGAGTTGGAGTGAGTTCTTGCCGATGGCGGAATTTGCCATCAACAATTCGGTGCATCCGTCGACAACGCATACACCGTTCTTCGCGAATGGCCTGCGCCATCCACGTTTACCCGCCTTCCTAGAATGTGACTCTAGCTTAAGGGGAGGGTGGACTCGCTCGAACAAAAACCGATCCGTTTCTTGCTCATAACCCGTCGACAATAGTTTCGACGAGATGGATGCCGATGTCGATGCGAGCGACATCGATGATGGTGATGACGACGATGCTGGTATTTTCAGCATCACTAATGACCGCCACGGTGAGGACGATAATACCCTTACTGGTAAAGACCTCGTTCTTTCAGCAGTGCACGCGAAGCGCACTGCTGTCAACAAGAATAAACAAGCAGAGCGATTTTCGCTGACTTGCGAAGGGTTGTCCACTTCGTTCAATATTCTATTGCAGATGCACTAGACGGACAGAAACGAAACGCAGACAAACACGGAAGAGCAAATGTTCTTTCGTTTGATTAAGGAGACCTAGTTTTACTGTCTACAGTAAACCTACCGAAACACGCAGTGACATATGTGGGCAGCAGTATGTAACTGCCCGAGTATGTCGGTCCATTTCGTGTGTTACTCCGAATGGAAAATGCGTACACGATTTTATTGCCCCGTAGTATGCGTACGCAAAGAGCTGCAGTCATCTCGTCATGAAGAGAAGGAGTCTAAGGTCCATTCTTCTGTTGCGCTAACCCAAACACGGCACGATCGGCCGAACGTTTGTGCGGTAAGAAAGTGTAATTATTTTTCCGAGATCATGGAGTATATAACGCCGAGTCCGTTCAAAAAATATGTCATCTTGCAACTTTTTCGTTATACGGCTCAGCTCTTGAACCTTAAGCTGATCCGACCCTCGGGACGGACCAGGTGTTCCCGCCGCCACCACATCCTGTGGTGGACTCAAGCGATGGTCAACGATTTCTAATAGAGCGTAGATTGAGCCACCGCGACGTGAATGGCGTCCAGACGAGTTACCTCGTCCGTTGGCGTGTCTATCCACCGGCGTGGAACAGCTGAGAGCCTCGTGCCCAGCTGATTGTTGATGTCCTGGGTCTCGTCGAGCAGTACGACGAGACCCACCAGCTGCATTTGAAAAAGGGCCGTCGGAAAACGACCTCCCCGAACGTGCGACAGGTACAAGGATTGCAAAGTGTCGATCCCTTCGGCCATCTCAGAAGAGTTGCGCGCCCTCCAGTAGAGAACATTAGGGAGTTAGGTCTCCCTAGGGGCACGGTTCGAATTGTCCAGGCAACCTGGACACGAATCACCCCACGAGAGACAGGGTAATCCTGCCTCTACTGGCAGCCGGTGCAACTTTTATCGCATTCCGGCTGGGTTGCGTTTCTCAAACCTGATGCGAGCTGCATCAACTTTCCAAGACAGGCCTCACGGCCAATGCACTTGATGTTATGGATGAAGGTATTCCATCCTATCACCAATGCCTTTCCGTCTCGACCACATTGCCACTGTACCACCGATGTTTAAAATCGCATCGGTGAAGACTCTTCCTCAGCACGGATAGTCTCCGTGCTGGAATCAGGCGGGCAAATCTTCCTACAATCGAAAAACGGAATTCGATCTCGATTGGTAGTCATGCTGGCCAACCGGTCCAACTCCTTGGATGACGGCACCCAAAGAGACTCCACTTGAGGAGCGTGGCGCAGAACAATTCGGTCCCTGGCCTCTTGATTGGTGCCAGCGTGATCACTAACAACAGTGACACCTCGATCCCTCGAGTTACTTCGCTCGTGGTGATGCATAGGGGCATCACCACCCTTACCATGCGTCCTATTGTTGGATTGAATAGCGTGAGACGAGGATTCGTCTGGAATATTCGCTCGATCCGAAGATCTCGAGCATGGTGCCGCCACGTTGACCGGAACCAGTCAACCTGGCTCTTGCAGTGTCCGCCCCGGATGATCTGGAGGCGTGAGGTCTCGCCTTCAAGTCTGATACATCATCCGACTCGCTAGAATAGATGAAAACTATTTCAGACTCATCTACATTGCGATTCAAAGTACCCGCTGCAACTGCAGCAGATCTATCTTTTGCACGCGGTGACTCGACACGTGGGCTGTTCACAACAGACACTGCCTGTTGCTGAATCGCAACGGCAGGCGAAGGATCACCTGCTGCTGAAGTAAGAGAATCACCCTCTTTGGATGCACGCGTGCGTTCGACCGCCTTTCGTCCTGCAATGGCAGCACATCTCATGGACTTTGACACCGTGCGATGAATTGGCAAATGAATTGGTATTTGAACAACAAGTTTTCCCCTTTCCAGAGTGATCCAACGGTCGTTACCCTGTCCTAATTAATTCGAATCAATCAACGGGTGATTGATGTTTGAGTGGGGGGGGTGATGTAACGGGGTAGCCCGATGCATGATATTGACACCAAACGGTGTCAATAGGGATATTGTCTAGCATGACAATATCTTACCAATTTTATTCGAGGTGGGTAACATTGATGGAATATAATCCCCTTTTGATAACATTCATACGCTGCTCCAAGACTAGTTGATAAAAATCATAATAACCATAGATTGCCACCAATCGCTGCTAGACGCGCGCAATTAGTGGTGATAAGGTTGTCGTCATACGACGACGTAATTTAACATAGTTATATAATGACTGAAGTTATATTGATAGCTTAGCGATATTAAATACAGTTCTATTTTACCCACTTCTCAAAGTAGCTATTTGATTAGATTGGCTTCCTCTGCACGTACTAGTGTACGTGAATTTCGTTGCACCCCAAAAAAAGGGTGCCCTACAACATCCTCTGCACGTACGAGCGTACGTGTAGTTCCGCGGAGCCCCAAACAAAGGGTCCCCCGTAAAACAAGACCTGGTGCACGGTTCTAAATGCGTCAATGCGAAATGATCTAGGGGAGTGTAGGACGCGATACGCTGTCTCACGACGGTCAATTTTTGATACGTCATGCGATGTCATCACCATAAATTCAGTCAAAGAGATCACTCCAGAAATCAGCAGGCTTAGACTAGCACATGTTAGTGAACTAGTGACCTAATGAGCATTGCTTTTTAATTTTCTAGCTAGGACACTACATTATTCGTAATTAATGCTTACCTTGTGTCAACAATCATGTAACGAGGCACCCCGTTCCACACAGAAGCCCTAATGTCAGACTTGAACATATATTAAACCTGTAACTGCCGGGTAATAGGGTAATGAGACCGGTCTTGCCATTACTCTACCCATCACCTTACCCATCACCTACCCATCACCTTACCCGTTGACTAACTTGCACCCCTACCACGAAAGTTTACCGTTTTACCGGAAAACATAGGGTGTATACCACCTACCTTACCTTGCCGAGACCTGATACTAATTATGAAGCGTTGCGTTTTAGATGAGCACTTTCGTCTTTAGGACGTCGCCCTTGCGGATCGGAACACCTTCTTCTTCTTCCAGATCGCACTCGGTGGCACAGGCGATTGAGTAACAATCGCGCTCGACGCTGCTATTGTCACCTTAAGTGTAAATGATGTTTTCAACTGCTACTTCCTCTTCTGTAGTGACTCGTAAATTCTTGGGTCGAGTCTCAGCTGTTTGGAGCCTTCTGTGGTTTTACGACCCACAATAACGTGCGAGACGACTTGCTCTCCCGTCAAACGGATTCTGCGACTTCCTGGCGTCATCTCGGTCACTCACCCTTATAAATCTCTTTACTTTCCTTAATCCGAAGTCCAATTGCACTAAGAAAGTTCTCCAACAAAGGACTTCGATAAAAATCTCCGTCTTCTTTAAACGAATGAGCAAACTTTCGACCCTACCATGGGACAGAACGTACTTTTGGCTCTAACTCTTGCAAAGCGCAGAGCTCCAGCGCCCGCTATACCAGTTCCAGGAGCTCTGGCAAGCAGCAAAGCCAGCCTCGCCATCTTCTTAGACTTGATGAGCTCGACAGTGAGTACCACCGTACTCACGCCTTCTCTTGATCCACAAGTCCCGAGCCAATGGGCAAGGCTGTACCATCGTCCTCCAGCCCAGACCTTTAAAGTGCGTGTTCCACGCGATGCGATGCACTCCTTGTGAGCGAGTGGGTAAGTTCAGGTACGACGAGTCGCCAAGGACGTCGCGCGCGTGTATCTAGGCAACATCCGTCTGCGTGCCGGGACGACAGATGTTATCCTGACCGTGTCGAAACCGATGCAGAGAAGTTCATCCAGCAGTAGTTAGGACTCTCGTCATGTTGAGGATAGCTCATACTTGGCTGCTGCTACATTAAGCAGGCGCCACAGACTTTAGTAGTTGTGGGCTGGCTGCTACTTTACAAGACAAGCGCTAAGAGAGAGCCTTTCGTGTAGTGACGAATAATCTACCTCCTTTTTTGATCACCTCACTGTGAGGCGAGTAGATGATGATGGGTCGAGTTGTAACGGAAGCAACACTGGGCTGGTGCATTAGTTGTTCGTAATTCCATTTAATGCCCTCGTAATTCACCTTGCAAAGGTTATACGGCAAGTGGTCGAAAGCCACTTGGGTCGCTTGTGACCAGCTTTTACAGTACGGCAAAGCAGATCAGACATGGTAGTCTTAAAGACTAGGAGCTGCCCAGTTGCTTCACGCAAGAGCCTATTGATCGCTGTAGAGGCACTATAGGACCAAGGCCACAGCAAGCACATATTCATGTCAGCAAGCTGGGTCCAACTTGCATTACCAGCGATCACTTGTCGACGAAAAAGAATACTTGCACCGTAGCACTGCTCGCTTTGCTTGTAGTTAGAGATTAAAGCGACACACTTGCTGCATCGGCGCAGCGATACGGGCACGTGCCTGACACAATTGGCAAGCTTTTCGTCATTTCGACTCGCTGCCTGGAATACAAATGTCATCAATCCAGACAAGAACGTGGCACATAGAAGATGCAATATGCTGACGATTGCAGGGGCATAAGACGGCAGCGCTTTGCTGCTTTGGGCTCGCTGCCTACAATCGCAGCGCCCGACATCTCGTGCAATCGAGTTTACAAGTCACGTGTCGCCCATCTCGAAAGATTTCGCTAATCAGAAAGGAGGTTCTGACTGGATGGTAAGACTGACTTTCGCCCTTTGTGTTCTTATCAACCATTCCATTCTTATCTGCAACGGTACCGCTGTCGTACGAGGTCGCAAGCAGACGATAGTGCGATGCAGACCTCCACCGCGCTCACATCGAAAGCCTATTGCACCATTTCCCTTACACCCGGCATGCGTCCCCACTTCACTGTTGTGCTGCTTGCTGCGTCCTTGTTCGCCACTATGGACAAGGCTGAACTATTAAGCCAACCCAGCACACTCGGTAGGAAGCAAAACGACGAACCTATTCAAGGGCGTGTACGAGGAGCTCTCACTGTTGACGAAGAAGAAAGACTTCTCAGTGGGTCGATTCTGAATCGCTTCGCGAATGACCGTGAACTCGCTTATTTGAGACAACCTGGGCAACTTAGCGTTGCATGGCTTGATCCGCACCTAATTTCCACTCAACACCACGATCGACTTGTCCTTGTCTTTAAACGCTATCTGAAGCACTTGGACGCAAGAGAATTTGATGCGTTAAAAGCATACTCGAAGGGAAAAGACGCCTGGAAGATGGTTTCGATGATTACCTGGATGAAGGGTCGTTCAGAGGAGGCAGCATCTCTTGCTGCGTCCATGGAGCCGAAACTGTTCGCTATGTGGAGTACTCAACGTACGAAACCTGACGAGTTGTGGAAAGGCCTCGAGGTCAACAAAAAAATTGAGTATCACGAGCTAGCGGGAAACACTCCACGCTTTGCGCTGTGGAAAAATTATGTTAGTTTTTTGGTGGACACAAAGGATTCTGGCTTGCTCAAGACAGGCACGAAAACATCATTGGAGAGAATTCGCTTGCTTCTATTAGAGAAAGAGTTGATGTCGAGGTGAGCACCGTGGTACACCTGAGAAAGCGAAAGCGTGAGTCCGACGAGGAGCTCGTGAAGTAACCGGATTTTTTTTGTTCTATGTTTCATTTGAAGTGACACTGTTAATACACGTAAACTTTATCCTACACTAACACAGAGTTGTCACGAGTTAAGTGAGTTCATTACGCCGAAGCACGGCAGGAAGAGCAAGATTTGTTCTCCGTGACAATTTGGTCCGCCCTGCACAGAGGGGACTGCAAGAGCTGTTCTCCACGTACACT